GCTGGTGGGACCTCACCCCTTGATTTGGTGTTTTCGGTTTCCGATTAGGAGGAAGCATTCTTAAAATTCCAGCAAGGCTCTAGCTTAAAAATGTTCGACTGATTATGAAGAATTTAAGAATTCACACTCTGCCGGTCTTGATGGCACAGGCCTGTCATCCTAGCCACTGGGGAGGCTAATGAGAGGATTTAAGTTCAAAGTCTGCTGGTTACCAGGAATTGCATACCAACTCCCTTTCCCGGGCAGTTTCAACAGAGGCTGCCAGCTCTCTCCTAACCATGGGAAATGTGAAAGATCTCCCAGACTCCTGGCCACGCTAACCAGGTCAGGCCGTCACAGCCCTGGCCTTGATGCTTCCTGCCCGCTTTAGAGATGGCGCTGTCTAGGGCCAGATAAAAGGCAGTGGCCAGCACACTGCAAACCTACACCCACATCTGAGGGCAGGGGTCCGCAGGGGCGTCTAGGTCCTCAAAGGGCATGACAGCCATAACCCTCACACCTATCTGAAGTAGCCAAGGGCCCAAGAGCTCTTCCCCAGAGGGAGGCAGAAAGGAGAATTGAGAAAACCCTTCTGTGATTTTTTTTTTCTCTTTCTCCTAGTGTCCAAAGTCCATCACAGATAAGCAGACAAGATTTTTCAGCCTCTAAAAGTCCATTGGCCAGTCACCTCCGGCCTTCACAAATGCCCCAGGGAAGTCTCATTCCTTTACAACACCCCCCCCCACACACACACACACCTTTATCTCATCAGTTCTAGATGACCTTCGAGTTTTGCAAGTCCAGCAGGCCACCTTCCCTTTCACTCACAGCCCCCCCCCCAACCCCGGCAGGCAGCAGAAGGTTTCCCATCCCTACCAGTGCACACACCCCACCCCACCACCAGGGCCGTCACTGTGGCCTGTCCTGTCAACATTACCCCCTCCTGGAGGACAGGGCCCTTTCCAGACTTCACAGCCTCAAAAACTTCAGCCTGGTGCCTGGGGTCACATACATGACTGAGTATACAGTTAGCATATAGTAGGATTCCAAGAGCAGGATGCAGGAAACACACTCAAAGCAGATGCAGGGTTGTTCCTAGCAGACAGAAGGATCCTTAGACAGATATTTCAGTATGGTCAGAAAGAAGTCCCTGCATCTGGATTATCTTCATGCTGGAGAAACTTAAATTTATTTGGGTTTTGCTTTGACATAAGGCATGGGGAGGGATTGCTATGTTGCCCAGACTAGCCTCAAACTCCTAGGCAGAAGTAATCCTCCTGCCTCAGCTTCCCAAGGAGCTGTAACTACAGGCACATGCCTCTGTACCCAGGTAACAAACCCTTGAAGGACGAGAACATTCTAGAGTTGACTCTCAAATTAAGTGGTCCTGCTGAATGAAACTCACATCTTCCAATACTCCTGAAGCTGTCCATCACGAACACGGAAGGAGCTGGAGGGGACCATGGGAAGGTGACAGCAGTCTGCACCCAGTCCCACAGCTTGTTCAGCCTGGGCACATTAGAAGCACAAAGGGACAGGGGGCTTGGACCTCTCTTGGCCAGGCTATACATTCCTCCAGCCCTTGTTGGCTGTAGACTCCGTGCCCAGAGTCACCGGGGATTCCTGAAGGAATAAATACCTCCCACCAGTCTCCTGCACCCCCTACCTGATCCTTTTGGGTCCCCACTTTCTAAAAGCCACGTTAACAGGATGAAACAATTCTCACAACCCTTGCCCCCTCCAAACCTAACTTTGAAATCCTCAGACCTCACGGCCTTTCACCCTTTGCCCAGAGGCCTCATTAAATTGGCACTCCCCCACTCCCAGGAAGGCAGCTAAAACTCTACCTCTGCCCTGCTGAGGAATTTGGCATTCAAATAGAGGCTTTCTCATCCTTATCATCTCTTGTAGTCTAAAAAAATGAGAGGAATGCAAACAGTGGGGTGATAATGTACTTAAGGGCCAGGTAATAAAAAGATTTAGCAAGAATGACCCAGAGGAGGTGTATGTGTGTGTGTGTGTGTGTGTGTGTGTGTTCACCTTTAATCCCATAAATGCCAGGTAATAAAAAGA